TCAGCTCAAGGCTAGCGCTCTACCACTTGAGCCACAGCGCCACTTCCGGCTTTTTTCTTTTTGCTTATGTGGTGCTGAGGAATCAAACCCAGGGTCTCAGGCATGCAAGGCAAGCGCTCTACCACTGAGCCACCTTCCCAACCCCTGTTAAACCTTAATAGGAACTTCAAGCAATGTCACCATGATCGCCACCACCACCACCATCCATCATCATCATCATCATCATCACCGGTGTGTACAAACACTCACACACACAGAACTCCAACACCAGTGGCCATTTTACCAGGAAGATAATGTATCTTCCATATTGAAACTACAGACTTACAAATTTGAAATTGTAATTTTGGGGTCTAGGGTAGGGGAATGAGTGACTCTGACCTCCTCATGGTTCTTCCTCAGGTAGGCCAGTTCCTCCTTGAGATTCTCGATCTGCATCTCCAGGTCAGCTCTGGTCAGGGTCAGCTCATCCAGCACCCTGCGCAGCCCGTTGATGTCAGCCTCCACAGTCTGGTGCAGGGCCAGCTCATTCTCATACCTGACAACAAAGTGTAAATCAGGTTAGGGGACCAATGTTACTGACTGGGCAAAGAGCCTGCTCTCTTCATGCCCGAACCAGTGCCAGTATTTAAGAAATAGCAGCAATCGGGGCTGGGAATGTGGCTTAGTGGTAGTGTGCTTGCCTTGCATGCATGAAGCCCTGGGTTCGATTCCTCAGTACCATATACACAGAAAAGGCTGGAAGTGGCACTGGCTCAAGTGTTAGAGTGGTAGCCTTGAGCAAAGGAAGCTCAGGGACAGTGCCCAGGCCCTGAGTTCAAACCAGGACTGGAAAAATAAACAAAACCCCAAATAGCATCACAGTGTATGTTATAAGTTTTGCTTTCATAATTTTCTCCTTTTTTTTTAGTATCATAGTTTACTGCTCAGATGGAGAAGAGAAAGGTGAGAAAATAGCAATGAGCCTCAACAGCAGTGTCCCCCAGGGAATAGGTCGCTGGTTGGTGGCTGTGGCTGGACACAGCTGGAGTCCTTCTTTGTAAATTGGCTTTCTAATAGCATCCTGAAAGCAGCTGAAAAAAATACTCCGTTTGCCTAATTTTCTTCATGATTTAATTAAAGCCTTGAAAACCCTTAGAAGCTTTTACCAAGACATTATAGGTTCGGGACCACCATTCGTGCAAACCTCTTATGTAGAAGTTTTGCAATTCAAAAAGGAAATTAATTTCTATGTCTTGGAGGGTGGGGTATGGGAAAAATAAAAATCTGTGCGTGGTTAATCTTTCAGGTGTATGTGTCATCAGGAACAATGGAACAGTCGTTAAATGGAACAATCATTCCATTTAACCCCTCAGCAAAACCATTATTCATCCATTCAGATATATTGAAAATTCAGGTTTAGGACTTTGAAAGAATTACCATCGTGATCTAGAAAGAATAAATGACTTAAGATTTTAAGGGCGTGTAATGTGAATTGTGTGGAATTGCTTTTTAGAACCAATGTATGGATCATGTGCATTTCAGAAGATTGGGAATTTTGCTGTCATCAGAGACAGGAAGATGGACTAAGAAGAGGTAGTGGGATAGGTTCAGTTATGGTCACTCTATCCTTACTTCATTCTGAAGTCCTCGGCAGCCAGCCTGGCATTGTCAATCTGCAAGATGATTTGCGCATTCCCGATGCTGGCAGAAATGATCTGGTGAGGGAGACACAGACAATGAGGTCCTAAAATACTAGCAGTATATGAATATTATTATATTTTGGCATTAATGGTCCTGTTCAATACTTTTTTTTTAAAATCAAGAGTTTAAGATAGTTTCACTTTTTAATAAAATATAAAAGTATTACTGAAAATTTAAGAAAATATGCATTTTCCTACAAGAAGGTGTGGAAATGTGTGTTGTTGTAGGAGACATGAGAAGTGGTAACTTCTTGAGATGAGAACATTCTCCAGGTACAGGGTAACTTGACGTCTAGGTTGCAGGCAATTATCACTGTAAAACATTGTAACAGCACACAAGAGAAAACGTGCAAGGTGCGCCCCCCCCCTTTCCCCCAGGGAACACACTCTTACCTTATTCCTGAGGTCTTCAATCAGTGGGAAGTATTTACTGTAATCATTTCGCGATCCAGAATCCCCAGCCCCAGATCCTCGTGTTTTGTACCATTCTCGAATTTTGTTTTCTAGCTCCGAGTTCGAGTCTTCTAGAGCTCGGACCTTATTGAGGTAGGAAGCCAATCTGTCATTCAGATTTTGCATCGTTTCCTTTTCTGATCCAGAGAAGAGGCCTCCATCGTTGCCTGAGAGCACATACAGAGAGCCACCACCGCCTAAGCTGCCCCCAGATCCCATCCCCAGGCCTGCAAAGCTCCCTCCCTGGGCTCCCCCATTAGCAGTGCCCAGTCCTGCCAGGGAACTTGCAGAGCAAACGCCAAAGCCAGAACCAGAACCGAACATGGACACGGCAGAAAAGCCTCCTCCACAGCCAGCCACAGAACCACTTCCAATGCCACAAGCAGAGATGCTCCTAGGTCTGCCCGCCATCCCAGCCTGTGAGGACGGCCGCCGGGACATCCCTGAGGAGGTGTACATGGCTGGCCTTGCTGAGGAGTGAGCCACAGGCAGACAAGAAGCAGTGTCTTTAAGCTAGAAGGGCCAGCCTTTTATAGGCCGTGATGGGAGATGCAGTTGAAGAGTTCACTTGCTCCGTTGGAAATAGGGTGTCTTCCCTGCCCCTTTTTGGCCAGCTCAGCAATTATGTGATTTATGTACAATGAAAATTCACTGATACAGAAATAATTGAATAGTCATTTCCCTTAAGTATTTGTTGTAACCTAAAGGAAGTTGGGTGAAGTAGAATTAGGCTGTCATAAGGAATTTTTCTTCCTTAAGTTATTTTCAATGCCTATCCTCTCTGACCAGTGTCTTCTACATAGCAGGAAAGCAAGGAATGGGTGCTGAATGGATAAGTCTATGAATACTTCCAAAACCTTAAGCTTCTTAAAGTTCTTTACTCATCTTTCCTAACTGTTTCCTTTGGGAATGTAATATAAACTCTCTAATCTCACAATCTAGTATATCATGTGTGTGTGTGTATCTGTATATATATGTATATATATTCATATTCAGTAATACAGTATATATAGTTTCAAAAGGATTGCAAAATGCCCTGGTGAAAGATGAAGATTAAGTGAATTTTATAGGTGAAAATGTTATAGAATTCAAATTGTCAAGAACTTGTCATTGGATGTTGCACAGTTTCTCGTTTTGACTCAGAAAAGTAGATCTATTGAACACCAAAAAATACCACATTTGAGTATAATATTATAATCATTTCAGCATGTTTTTTTTTCCTTCAAAATCAGCCTTGATGTTCTCGGTTGACTATGAAGTCATAATTGAGAGTTTGGGCCTTTAGCCTGGTCTCCTGACATCTTACAAGCACATGTTAAGCCACACTTCCCCCACAGGACCTGCATATTACAGGTATTACCACCAGCATTCCTTCAAGATACAGGGGTTCCAATCTACTATTGTAGAAATAATAAGACACTGTTTTAATTTACTCACAGGGAATGTGCTGAATTTGAAATTACGTTTTCATTAATGGTTGCATAACGAGGTCACAACTCACATGTATTTTTTTAAAAAACTTGGAGCCAATTTTATGTTGGAAGGTATACTTTCTGACTGTAATGTTTATATGGACATTTAAAATAGTTTTGCTTCATATCTATATATCAGGTTTGTCCAATAAACACTTAACTATTTCTATTTCATTAAACTATTTCTATTTCAATAAACACTTATCTATTTCTATTATCCTTGATTGTAAGATCTCAGGTAGGGAGCACGTCTCCTTTATTATTTTTGTTTAATCCTGAGTTAGCCTACTGTTTGCCTGAATTTTGTCCTTGAACTACCAGAATTATTTTGCTTGTAAGAACTTAAAATGTTTAAATATGTCACTCAAAATGCATTTGAAAAATGTGGTTATGCCCCAAAATTTTTTTTTTTTTGGTCGGTCGTGGGGCCTGAAATCTGGGCCTGGGTGCTGTCCCTCACTTCTTCAGCTCAAGGCTAGCACTCTACCACTTGAGCCACAGCGCCACTTCTGGCCTTTTCTGCTTAGGTGGTGCTGAGGACTCGAACCTAGGGCCTCATTCATGCAAGGCAAGCACTCTACCACTGAGCCACCTTCCCAGCCCTGGTTATGTCCTAATTTATAGGTACACTTTGAACAAAATTTATTCTGAGTTTAGGTATGAGTGAACAAAGTCAGAAATGAAAGAAATTTCTTTCTCATTGACTTTTTCGGGGAGGGGGCAGCTAAGTTAATCAGCCTGCATAGGGTGGCGGGTTAGCTCTGCTGTTAGCTCAGCATGATGTTAATCATCCAGACTCTGTTTTAGAGGTTTCAGAAGTGGACATAATTTTCTTTGACAACCATGTAAATGTATAAGCATGTAGGAATGCTTAATGCAAAAACAATCTTGGGCTTATTGGTGAAATGATTGCTTAAGTTGAGACACACGACTAGAGCCAGGATGAACTCTTATAAAAAATGATGTCTTCTGGAAACACAACAAATCAAAGAAAGGTTGGACAAATGGGATTGCATGAAGTTGCAGAGCTTCTGCATGGCAAAGGACGTATCTAGCAAGATCAATAGAAAGCCCACGGATTGGGAGAAGATCTTCACTAGCCATACAACAGACAAGGGTCTCATATCTAAAATATACTTGGAACT